GAAACCACAGGTCACCCAAGTTTATACCAAGCTTTCTCCATACTACTATATCTGCTGGACAATGTCGAATTATATGGTCAGCATTCTCTTCAACATGGCCACACATAAGGCACCTAGGATCCGAAGTCAAATGCCTTAAGAATCTTGTTGCATTCGTCATCAATCGCTCCCTATATGCAAGACAAAAGAAGAATCTAATTCGTTGCGGGGCATGAATATTCCAGATTATCTTCGAAGTGGGTTCTCATTGCCTTATAGCTCATCTTCATTATTTAATATAGTTATAGCAGACTTCATATTGAATCCTCCAAATGGTGACCCCTTCCAATAAATGCTATCTACTACATCATCCTCTTCTTGCAACTCGTAGGCTTGAATAGCATTTAATACCTCACTTGGTAAAAAAATCAGCAAAAAGTTCAACCTTCCATCCTCTATTACTATCCCACATGTCATGAACTTTATACTCTAAAACACTAGAGGGAGGCTGCAACGTGGTGACACTGATTCAGAGGCTTATCAATAGCCCAAGTATGATGCCAAAAACTCGTGCCTTTCCCTTTGCCAACTGCCACACTTACCCCTTTTCGCAAGATTTCTATATTCTCCATTATGCCTTTCCATGTATTCGATGCATCATTCTTGTGCTTGAACATATCTATGTCACATCGTCCTTCGCAATACTTATGACGAAGTACCCGTGACCATAAGGAATCCGCATCAGTTAACATTCTCCAGCCTAGCTTGACCATAAATGCTGCATTTGCTTGGCGCATTGAGCGCACCCCAAGGCCACCATTTCTCTGTGGTTGAGTCACGGCTTCCCACGATACTAAGTGCATTTTCATTTTTTCTTTTGTGCTTCCCCAAATAAAACCTCGTGCCTTTTTATCAATGACATCACATACACTTTTCGGAATCTTTGCAGACTGCATTGTGTAAGTGGGGATAAAAGTTAGCGAGGTTTGAGTAAGTGTTGTACGCCCAGCAATAGACAAGGTTTTTGCTCTCCATCCTCCTAACTTGGCATCAACCCTATCAACTAGATATTGGTAGGTAGCTTTCGTAACTCTGCCATTCAAAGTAGGAACACCCAAATACTTTCCAACGTCCTCCGTGCTCTCCATTCCCAACACATTGCACACTTTATCCCTCACACTGAAATTAGTATTGGGTGAGAAATAAATCCTCGATTTATCTACACTCACTTTGCTACTCGAGGCTTGACAAAAATTTTCCAGACACTGCTTCATGATCTTGGCTTGATGTTCGCTAGCTTCATAGAATAAGATTAAATCATCAGCAAATGCGAGGTTGGTAATTGGCGGACCTCCACTGTAACACCCTAAAAATTCCTTTTCTTTAAAATACCTGTTTTGCCCCTTTGAAAATACGAAATAGGAAAATCTAAGACATTACCACCACCGTGAAAACGGCTAAGACAAATATCAAAGACACACATCGGAAGACTATCTTTTAAAAACCATTTAAAACAAGTCAACCTTCAAAAAGTAAAACGAAGGAAGTAAAGTCAAACTAAGTCAACCATAGTCACCTATAACTTGGAGCCATTGTAGGTCATTAAAACCAAACCAATATTTAAAACTTTCGCGTTAGTCTCATCAACACAATAAATATAATATTTAAAGCAATTAAATACATCACATTCCTATAGGAAACTAAGCATGGTTCGCTCTTCACTCATCCTCGTCATGCAAATGCTTCATCACCTGAAAAGCTCCTTTCTACTTGTCCCTACTACTCGCCATTAGGAATGGGTCGTCGTAGGGCCAAGGTAAAGACAAGGTCAAACAAACATGCAAACACACAATTAGCAACGCTGAGTACATAAGCGTAATAAATTACACTAACATGCTTTCATCCTATCAACACACAACTTACCGTGTTACACCTGTAAACAAGCATTCGAGACACTCAACACTTAACTAGACAAATTCTAATGTTCATTTAATTTTGATTACGCATCGAACGGGTTTCCAACCAACTACCTGCCTCAATAAATTGAGGCAAACTACACCGGGAGCTAACCAGGTACGTAAATGTCACATGAAGTGACTGGACGTCCCACGCATAATAAATAATAAAAAAAGGAAAATACAGCGTCCTGTACTCCCAATAGAAGTTATGGCTAAATATAAAACCCCATAACTCCTCCCATATGTTCATACTCAAGGTATATATGTTCTAATAGTTTTGGTGCGTAATCTCTTTCACTTTACGTTATCTGCATATTAATAAACTTGGTGATGACTCTCAAACACAAGACAACCAAACATTACCATTCATTCAAGCAATCAAACAAACCAATTTAATTCTTGAATATTTAGTGACCACATTAATTTAATGTTGAGTCCTTTTTAATCTACCTCGGTGTTAAATAACACCTTAAGTGCATAAGGCATTGCAAATCCTATCCCTCGTTGTTAGAAACACCAGGGCACATAGGCACCGCAATATAATATATTCTTGTGTACTAAGAAACTTTAATAGCTCTTTCCTCATGCTTATAGCATCAATAAAAATTATATGAACCATCTTAAAATTCCCTTTTTATATTCCAAACCAAGTTAAACATTTAGTTTAATTCAACGTGCTCTCTAACATGCCAATAATAAAAGTGTGGTTCATATCCAACATGTCAATATAATTAATTCCAATCACCAATTCACCATGGATATTTCACAAATCATTCACCAACATCAATCCAATCAACAAATTCCATCCAACACCTATCATGATACTACTTGGAATTAATTAAACAAAGTCTAGCATGCTTCTATACACTTAAACATTACCAAGTACATGAACGTACCTTGAATATGATCTCAAAATCGCCACGACTAAATAAAATTACTCACTTGGAAGTCTCCTACAAACCAAAATTATAAAGAAGTATTAATACCTCTTTCACACAAATTTCCAACAATATATACTCTCTTTAAATCACTTACAAGCCTTCTAAAATAAGCTGAAATTTTATTTAAAACTCTTACTTTTATTCCCAATTAATGGGTAATTAAAAATCCTTCCAAGAACCCTAATTATAGCCTTTATATAAAAATTCCAGCTTTATTAAACCATGAAAAATAGTTGTAATCATGTTTAAAAACATTAATTTCAATAGTTTAAATTACCCACATTCCATCAATATTCATTAATTTAGAAACCTAGGGCTGTTGCTGCCGGCGAAGGGTGCTTGTGGTGGCCGCCGGCCGGTGGTGGTGGCCGGCCGGTGTGTGGTGATTAAAAACATTAAAAATTAGAATAAGGGGAAGGGGAAAATTAAGGAGAAAATAAAATAAGAGGAGATAGAGAATTTACCTTTGGGTGCACTCCACCCTAGGCATATAATGGGTATTTATACCCCCTTCTCAATATCCCTCCTTACTTAAAATTCCTTTACTATCCTTAATGATCTATTTCCTAATCAAACTTGTATTTTGACTTTCCATAAATACCATTGACTTTAAAATTTATCTTTTCATAAAATAATATGCCCCAACATTTCCAAAATAAAATATTTTCAAGATTATTTAATGATTAAAATATACTTTTAATCAAAATAATCCTTTTTATATTAATGAAAAACCCTAAATAATTCATTTCGAATTATTTAAATATTTTAGGAAATACTTATTTAAATTAAAAATACGTATAAAAATACGGGGTATTACATCCACGACTTGCCCTAACTGGTGTCCAATCTCCAAATTGCACCTCCCTATCAATTAAATGAGCTAACCTCTCCATACATATCATATATAAATACGGAGATAGGGGATCTCCTTGGCGAATTCCACGCGAAGAAGAAAATTGAACCGTGGGTTCCCCATTCCAAAGAACACTTAGCTTTGCCAAATTTATACACAACATGACTACATCAATAATAATTTGAGGAATTCTTAACTCCAAAAGTGACTCCTTAATAAAAGTCCATCGAAGTCGATCATAAGCCTTCTCAAAGTCAATTTTCACCGCCATGTAGCCCACTTTGCCTTGCTTTCTTCGCATCGTATGTAACATTTCTTGGACAATAATGATATAATCCATTATTTGTCTCTTGGGCACAAAGCTACACTGAATAGGGGAAATAAGAGTTGGCAAAAGGGGTTTGAGCCGATTAACAATTACTTTCGTCACAATTTTATATGTGATATTGCACAACCCGATTGGTCGAAAATGGTTTGCTTTTTCCGGTACCTCAAATTTTGGTATAAGAACCAAGAATGCATCATTAAAGCCCTCCCAAAAATATTTACCACTTAGCACATCCAAGACCAACCCAATCACATTCGGCTTCACAAAATTCCAAATTTTTTGGAAGAATAAAGGTTGAAAACCATCCAACCCCGGTGCTTTATAAGGGTCCATATCTTGTAGTGCAGCCAAGACCACACATTCAGCAAATGGTCTATTGATAGTTTCCCAGTCAGAGTCGCCAATAGGGGGAAAGTAGTCATGCAATGGCTTCGTCTGATTCCCTTGACATGTTTCTTCCTTAAACAAATTCTTCCAATAATTGAGCAATGAGTCTTTGACTTGATCAGGCCCGGTAATCCACTCCCCACTATCATCCATTAAAGTCTCAATTCGATTTCTTTTTCTTTTAATTATAGTGGAAAGATGGAAATATCGAGTATTTTTGTCCCCATCGCAAATTGCTTCCGCACGAGATTTCTGGAACCACAACCATTCCTCTTATTCCAACACCGAGTTCATCTCTTTTCTTAATTTCTCTTCTAATTTCATGAGATAGAGGGGTCCACCATTAGCAAGTGATTTTTGTATACTCTCCAACCAAGCCCAAAACTCCGCTTTTTTCCTGAAAATGTTATGGAAGACTGTCTTATTCCACTCGCTTAGCTTTTCTGCAAACTCCTTCAAATAAGGCACTAATTGTTTCTTATTATTCCAATTTCCCTCAACAAAAGCTTCAAATTTTTCACGACATAGCCAGGCGACCTAAAATCTAAAAGGCTTCAAAGATTCGGAATTGGGGCAAAACCATTAGTGCTTATCAGAATAGGACAGTGATCTGATGTTAACCTTGGAAGGCTCCTTACAGCTCCTTCAACAAATCTCAGTCGCCAATCTTCATTCACCAACCCTCTGTCAAGTCGAGCAGATTTAAAGGAATTCGGACTCAAACCTCTACACCATGTATGTGCAGGTCCCGAACATCCCAAATCAATTAAACCATTAATATTAATGCAGTCAGGGAAATTTTTACACCTATGTTACATCTCTGAGCCTCCCACACCATGTCGCTCTTCTAGATTCACTGCGTCATTAAAGTCTCCGGTATGATTCCAAAGTTCATTCCAAAGTTCCTTTCTCAAAGTTGAATCCGGATTAGCATATATAGCAGAAAAAATCCATGGATCTTCCCCCCTTTTTTCAATCTCGACAGTGATATGTTGGGTATGATTGTCAAGTATCGTAACCGACACTAATTCCTCTCTCCAAAACAACCATATGCCTCCACTAAATCCTTGAGCGTCCACTCTTGTTTGGCCCCAAAAACCAATTCTGTCACACACTTTATGTGCTTGCTCTCCACTTAAATGAGTTTCCACCAAAGCTAAAACTTCCGGGTCATTAATTCTAATTAGCTCCGTAATGGTTGCTAATTTATTCCCCGCTCCTTGCACATTCCACACCATTATTTTTATAGACATATTAAAATTTGGGAAAAGGGGAAATTGGTCATAAATATTCAAGGGAATATTAGGCAGAATGTTCACGTACGCATCTTTCAATGCATACATTGGTCCCTTTGTTCACATGGGAATTTCCACCGTAGCCAACATCTCCGGTAGATTATGCCGGGGAGGTAGGAATGTACTCACATCTAGATTCGCTCTGTTTGCTACTAGATGGAATGATATCAGATATGGACCCTCCGTTTGATAATCCAAGAATGTCTTGTATGATGGGGGAACTCGCAACTCTAAGGTGATTGGAATCTAGGGGATCCCCTGGCTCATATTATAATTCATTGTCAAGCAAATTCTCTTCTGATTGACTGTTCTTTCGCAGTGCAGTTGGGGTAATAGTTGCAATTGGTATCAAAGATCCTATCGCTCCTCCTTCGGGTGAAATAAAATATTTTTCATATAAATCTTTTCTGGGAAAAGGATCAGTATTTTCCTTATTATGTTCGGGATTGAAATGCATCTCACCTTTTTCCCGAATAAAATATTTTCCAGACTTATCCTTATCTTTTCCTCTGTTTTGTTCCATAAATAAGTCTTTTTTATTTTCTTCCAATTTTTTCAAAGAAACTCCTAAGTCATTTGTAGTTTGACCTTTCATATCGACTTCCATCTCATTTAGAGTTACCTCCAATAAATTATTATTACCTCTAACAGAATCTCTGTCATCCCCTAAATTTACTGCCTTCTTCTCTACTAGAGAGCTATCTAAGGAAACAACCTCCATTTCCTTAGTCTGATTGTTTTGACCATTGACCAAGTCAGTCAACTCCATATCTTGATCTTGCTACAAGAAATTAAACCTTGACCCCGAATTATTTCCCTGTTTAGATTGGTCGACCTGTTTCCAAACTTGGTTAACCTTCAGTTTTGGTTTCGGGTTCTCCAAGTTAGCCTTAATAGAGCTATTGTTCTCCTTGCCCTCCATTAGCCCTTTCGAAATTTCACCTTGTTGCACCTAAGGATTAGGTTATTTCTAGGAGCATACTTCCTCGTGTTCCTTTGAACAAGCATCCATGAACCAAATTGGTCATGCTCCTCTAGCCTAGCCCTACTAACTGACTGTTGGACTTTAATCTCTTTCTTGCGCAAAATTTTCTCTCCATCATCACCAAGGAAGATCTCCATGTCACATTCAGGTTCTTTGTGACCCAACTTGCCACACCTAAAGCAAATTTGCCTTAATCTGTCGCATTGAATACGCCAAACTCTCCCATTAATTCGGAACTTAGATAGCAATGGCTTGGATAAATCAACTTCGATAATAAACCGAATGTATTGACCTCGACTCATGGCTTCAGTATTTCTATCAATACTAATTACTTTCCCAATTTTCGACCCTATCTTATACAAGAATTGCTTATCAAAATATTCAATGGACAACTGAGGGATCCTTACCCATGCCGTGAGAAACTTAATCGGTGCTTCATCTGCCACGAAATTAGGCACCCATTTTCGAATTGTTAAATAACTATCGCCAATTATCCACGGACCTTGAGTCAAGACAAATTGATGATCCTCCATATTAGAAAATCTTGCAATATAATACGCATACCCCAAATCCGTTAGGGATAATTCTCCTTTGAGGCTCCATTTAATCTTCAATCTCTTCATAAGCACTTCATAGCTCAATTTCTTATCAAATAATTTGATAATCAAGGCATTTTGCCAAGGCCTTCTTAGTCTCTACTTCTCCTCTTTTGTGAGTAAAATGTTAGGGCACATTTCATCATCCGAATCGCAGTCAAGAGGGATATCATCCTCCGATTCAAATTCACCCCCATGAAATTCTGGAGCAGATATAAGTGGTCTTCCTCCCCTAATTCCTTTGGCCATGTTGCTATAGGAGACTCTTGGGTGATTTCAACCCTCGTTTCCGCAACCACTGTACCCATTTCTACATTATTAACAATGTGGCTAGGACTTGAATCAAATAATGGTGAATTTTCCGGTGTTCTTTTGAACTTTTTATTCGATCGCCTCATTTAGTCTTCCTTCACTGTTGAGAGAGGTTTTTCTCGCCTTTCGCTCTCCATTTTTTTCAATTCTTTTGAAAATTAAACCTTATATTAATTAAGGTTATTTTAATTGTGTAGGAGGAGTTCCCCATTCGTGATCAAGTTTAGTAATTGTACCTTAATTTTTCTCATGACCAAGGTACGTATTGGTGGCTAAGCCTTTCATAGAAGTTGTGAATGCATGTTTTTATGATTGATTCATTTGAAAATATGTTTGAATACTTGAAAAGGTTTGAATTAACGATTTTAATGATGAGTTAAAATCATTGTATAAGTTAAAAGTTTGATCTTAAAAGTGTTAATTAATCAATTTATTAAAAGTTGTTTATAATTTGCTTGGTTTACAAGTTATGAAATTGAAGGAATTAACTTAAAATTTGCAACTCATTATGGGCCTGAGTATTTAATATTTTACTGTCCCTCTAGTTGAGTAAGACAATGAGCTTTGTATGATCTAGTCCTTCCTCGAGTATAGTTTAACTTGCTTGGGGGGTGTGTACACACTTAGGTGAGGAAAATTGGTTTTGGAAATATATCTTAAAATTGTAAAGTTTATAAATTGGAAAGTTTTATTGGTTTGAAAAGTTTCTATTGATGGGCATTACTACTTTTGGAAGGTTAAATTTTGGAAATTCTAAACTTGGAATAATTATTTCGAAAGCATGTTTGTCTAATAAAAGTATTTACATGCCTTGCATTTATGTGTTTTTAGCGTTTTTGCTAATCCGTTTTCCTTTTTGTTTTTAGTTCGCCTTGATTATCACTATCAGTAAGCAGTCTTGATTTCATGTGTAGAGTTGTTCGTGCGCAAGCTAGAGTGAGGATTATAATCACCTAATTATTAGAAGTTAATTTTACTTACGAGTAGACAAGTTTCTTTGGAGTATATTGAAACACTAATTATGGTTATTTTTATTATTATTAATAAAAATCAGTTATTTTTCGCAGCCAATTTGAGTAGTTAAATAAGCTTTACGTTTTTACGTGGCGGTAATACGCTCAAGTCTATCGCTAAGGTATTAGTATACGTATAAATATAGTATTTACGTAGAGGGAGATTTGGGGGTGGTACACTGCCCTGCTATGCTCTGCAGTGTGTTAGAAGTCTTGCTCTACTCTGCTAACCGCTACTATACTCTGCTCTGCCCAGAAGCTCATAAAAACAGGGCCTTAGTTTAACATATTTTTTTTTTTTGTAATCTTTTGTTCTTGAATTATTGCCTCATTGTAATTTTTGAGTTGGTATGTAATATTGGAATGGTTGTTTGGTTTTATTGTTGGAATGAATTATATACTTAATTAATAGAATGGATTGTGAATATCTTAAGAGGAGAGTTGGAAATGAGATTCCATAGGTATTAGGTAGAGTTAAAATCAAGCGGAAAACGGGGCCCAAATGATTTGAAAATGGGCCAAATCCTACTTGTATTTAGAAAGCCAACTGAATCAAGCGGCGCGAAATTCCGAAAATCTCCTAAAAGAAAAAGGCGGAAAACGAATAATCACCAAAACGTCATAACTCATCCACGTCATCGATCCGTGTAAACTCCCAACATCCAATAAGAAACAACCTTATTTCCCTATAAATAAACTTCATCATTTCCATAAAAATTTATCAATCACATCTTGTTGTCCTTTATCATCAAACTTTCTCTCTCTTATCTCAAAACACTCCTTTCTCAAAAAATATCCCCAAAATGCCGCCTAAGGGAGAGAAGAAACCCGCCGATAAAAAGCCCGCAGAGGAGAAGAAAGCCGCCGCCGCCGAGAAAGCTCCGGCGGAGAAGAAGCCAAAAGCCGGCAAAAAGCTTCCTAAAGAAGCCGGCGCCGCCGCCGGAGACAAGAAGAAGAAGCGTCACAAGAAAAACGTCGAAACCTACAAGATCTACATCTTCAAGGTTCTCAAGCAAGTTCATCCTGATATCGGAATCTCCAGCAAAGCGATGAGTATCATGAACAGTTTCATCAATGATATCTTCGAGAAGCTTGCGCAGGAATCCGCGAAGCTCGCTCGTTACAACAAGAAGCCGACGATTACTTCTCGGGAGATTCAGACTGCTGTCAGGCTTGTTCTTCCTGGTGAACTCGCTAAGCATGCCGTTTCTGAGGGGACTAAGGCTGTTACCAAGTTTACTAGCTCTTAAATTGATGTAGGAATGAATTTACAGAGTTGTTTGTGTATTTAGGTTGTTTTAATTAGGGTTTCTAGTTTCTGCAGTTTGGTTGTTTAATTAGGGTTTGCTTTTGTAAAATTGCAGATATATGAAATGTTAATGGATCTTAATGTTTTGTTTTTAAATCTTGTTGATCTCAATTTTACATTTTAACTGCCGATTATTTTAATTTGTTTGTTTTTTAATGGGTTTGATGTGCAATTTTTTGGTTGGATCTGAGCAAGAATTTCTATTTGGTTTAAGGTAGAAGTAAATTACATATAGGGGAGTCTAATTTTGAAGAATTGTGATTCAGTGTTTAATTGCTTGACTGTTGATATTGAAATTTATTTGTCTTAGTTTATGCAGATGTTAATGGTGCTTGAATTTAACTGTTCTGATTTATAAATGCTAATGTTGTCAACTTTTTACCCCGTATTTGATAGTTACAGACTGATGTTTCAACAATTTTAGGCTTTTAAACCTCTTAAGGATTGTTGCATCTAAAAGACCATTGAGAAGGAGAACTAATTATACAAACATGAGCACTCATTAATTCATTGTGTCAATGATACTCCATACTCATGACTGTCATCTTCATACTCACTATATTTTGGACCAAGAAAATTGACCCCTTGTTTACCTTGATGAAGAGAATGATCACACAAATATTAAGCTACGTAGTATGTTTCTTGATTTTGCCAATGACATTGCAGTATGGTACATCGATGCACATCTAAGTTGCGATTATTGACTTGTTAGTTGAGATATAATTGTT